GTTGCATGAACTTTATTGTTTGAGGACTTCATTTAACTAGATACACAGGAAGAACAAAATATCTTTTGTGAGGCTTTCTTACAGTTGACAATGGGCATTGGCATCTTTCTGGAAAATATAAATTCAAGTAAACCTGCCGACTGTAAAATATGAAATTAAGAGCAGAAAGGAAATTTAGTAGGTGACTCTTAGAATAGCTCACATTGACAAGTACCTATTATGCATCGGATAATAGGTACTGACGCATACTGTCAGTATCCTTGTCTCTGCCTCTAGACTTGAAATGAAAAGTGCATCTCCACTTTAAAAGAGTTCTTTATTGCATTTGTATTCTTTCCTGGTCTGATTTTATTTCAAGAAAAGTGGAGGGAAATAATTAAGTGATACTACAAATGACTTCCCTAAATAATTTGCTGGAACAGGCATTATGTTCAATCAAATTGTTTCTTTTTAATAAAAAAGAACTTTGAAAGTGAACAAGTTAGACATACTGTTTTGAGAAATGATAACATATTGTCTGTTTAAGATGTAGAGCTGAATTGAATGGAGTCTTAGTAACTGACCTTTCAAGTGGCTAATCAGTGGCAAGGAAGCTGTTTATAATTTACATTTTAGAAAAATATTCTGGAAAATAACAGTTTACTCCTTTTGTATTAAATCCTGTGAATTGGTATTCATTTTTATGGAGTAGACAAGCTATATAGATCTGGTTTCATTCAGGTACACATTACAAAAAATGCAATTATGGGCTTCCCCGGTGGCGCAGTGGTTGAGAATCTGCATGCCAATGCAGGGGACGTGGGTTCGTGCCCCGGTCCGCGAAGATCCCACATGCTGCGGAACGACTGGGCTGGTGAGCCATGGCCGCTGAGCCTGTGCATCCGGAGCCTGTGCTCCACAGCGAGAGAGGCCACAACAGTGGGAGTCCCGTGTACCGAGTAAAAAAAAAAAGCAATTATTATAATTCTATACTCACCAAGTCTAATTTCTTACGAAGACTCTGTCGACACAAATCATCAATTAACAATCTATAATAGGAAAGGAAAAGAGTTTTATTTGAGCTAAACTGGGGACTGTAGCCTGGGACACAGATTCAAGAGGCACTTGAATTGTGTTCTCCCATAGTACAAAATGTGGGAGGCTAATATAGGCAAAAATCAAAAAGTTACATAAGTTGATTGTCAAGAATTAGGATTGGAGCTGGCAAGAAGTAAGGATCTTGTTAAGCAAGGATTTGTTGGACTCTGAAGTGTTTTCACGGTTACAAGAGGAGACCTTGAGATCATAAGGTTGCAGCTGGCAGCTGCTAGCAGGTATTGTTTTGAGAATGGCTAGTGGTGTCCTTAAGTTTGAAACATTCAGAAAGGTCAGTTTCTCAGTGATGCAGGAATGTGTCTGAAACTACATCTGTAATAGCCACCCGCATCCATTTTGAATGCCTGAACCACGATTACTCCAATGATTTTTATTCTTTTCTTTAGTGGTTAAGGCAGATGTAAAATTCGTGTTTCACAGGCCATAAGACAGGCTATTCTAGTTAGCATAAAGTTTGAGCCAAATCATATATAAGCCAGAATGATTTCCCCATACCTCAACGTGTGAAAATGTCTTCTGTCAACTACACTTTGGGTAAAACAACTGATTTTTAGATAAAAATAAACATGAGAAAAAAATTAAAAGTAAAATATTAACATATTGTTTTCTCCAGTCTCTGGTGAACTGATACATTTGCACTCCAATTATCATTGAGAAAAAATTTTTTTGGCCGCACTGTGCAGCTTGCGGGATCTGAAAATTTTATAACGTTAGTATCAATCATTCAGTTGTATGTAGTAAAACACACACATACACAGTAAACACATTTCAGATTGCTAGCTTGCATTTATGTTTGAAAAGTACATGGCTGCTTAGTAAAAATTACTCTATGAAAATTATATATAACATACTATTTATTACTAGGAGTGCACAGATTTAAATGCTAAGCAATTTAAAACATTCAAAGTTTTCCATATTCCATTTTTCAGCAGGAACTAAAGATAATTGTGGATTGTAATTAATAAAATTGTATTGAACATTATCGTGAAAGTAGAAGACAAAATTAATTTTATTATAAACAAATCTCATTTGGGGAGGGATAATGAAGCTGTAAATAAATTGTCCTCACAATCAGAAATTGTTCATTCTTATATTGTTTCCAGATTTTTACTTCACTTGTTATCAAAGATATTTATAACATTTTGGTATATTTTTATTATGTGATCAGTTTACTTTTATATAATTTATGTGTGTATTGCTTGTTCAAAGATATCTTTGGAATAGTCTCTCAAACATACAGTTGAGATTATTTTAAGACTGTGCAACAGTTCAAACTAGTTACAATCTCAGCTTCGAAGTTAGGTTTCCTTTTGCTTGCCTGGTAGTTAGTTGCATGCCTGTCACAAGCCCATTCTGGTACAAGATTATCCACTGTGTGGCTTAAACCTAAATTTGTCAGTCCATGTTTTCACTCATCCTCTCAAGTCTTGGCTCCACCCTAGATCTTTTTTTTGGTTTTTTCTTAATTTAATTTTTATTTTAAACCCTCACGTGATTGACATGCACGTGAAATTTGGGAAGCCTGCTCTCACTCTATTTAAATGGATCTCTTAAGTGCCTGGTACGTGCCAGGCAAAGGGTTAGAGATTATTCTAAAGTTGTGTTTGAACAAGCAATGTATATGTAAATTATATAAAAGTAAACTAATCACATGATAAAAATATACCAAAAAATTGTAATATCTTAGATAACAAGTGAAATGGCAACAGTTGTTGCATGATCTCCTGTAGTCCTCACCACATCTTTACTATCATTCTACTTCTTAAAATATCAGCATTAAAAAAAAGGCTTTCAGACAGAGAAAGATAAATACTGTATGATATCACTTGTATGTGGAATCTAAAAAATACAACAAATGAATGAATAGAACAAAAAGAAACAGACTTACAGATACAAAGAGCAAACTAGTGGTTACCAGTGGGAAGAGAGAAGGGGAAGGGGCAATATAGGGGTAGGCAATTAAGAGGCACAAACTACTATGTATAAAATAAATAAGCTACAAGGATATATTGTACTACACAAGGACTAGAGCCAATATTTTATAATAATTATAAATGGAGTATAACCTTTAAAAATTGTGAATCACTGTGTTGTACACCTGAAACTTAATATTGTAAAGCAAATATACCTCAATTTAAAAAAAAGAAAAAGAAACAAAGAAAAGACTGTATTATGGAACATATAAAATACACAGAATTGTAGAAATAAAACTGTAGTATATCACCCCCTGTATCCTTTGCTCAGTTTCAACAGTGCATTGCCAAGCAAGTTTCATGAAGCAAATCCCAGTCATCACATCATTTTGTCCACAAATAATTCAGGAAGTGTCTCTACAACAAAAAGACTCTGGGTTTGTTTTTTGTTTTGTTTTGTTTTTTTGACATAACCATGATACCATTACTACTAAAAATATCGTATTTTTTTAAATAGCATCAAAAATCAAGGCATTCTTCGTATTTCCCTGATTGTCTCATTATTGTTTTTATGTTTGTTTGTTTGTTTTTATCATTTCATTTTAAGTTTCTTTGTTTGAAATACAGGGGAGGAAAAATAATCTTCCCTCTACTCCTCTGAGTTCTTCTTGACTAAGACCCCTGTAATAAAAGACAGATTAACAAGAGAAAAACAGAAGTGTATTAACATGTATACCTCATATATACATGGGAGATACCCAAGGAAAAAGGAGTTAATTCCTTGAGGTGGCTTAGAATTCAGGCTTAAATACCATCTTAATAAGGAAAGGGGAGGGAGGGATGTCAGCCACTTAGAGGAGAGTAAATGATTTTTGGGAAAAATGAATAGGCCCTTAGAAGACTACTCTTAGAAGAGTAGATGAAAGATATGATAGTTTGTGACAACGTTTGGTTGTGGTGTCAACTTCTAGTCTCTTCGTGTGACAAGAGTCAATATTCCCTAGTTGATGAAACTCTCAGGGAGGGGATTTACAACAATCGAGTTCCTTTTGGAGTATCTGTCTTAGGCAGATAAGGGAAGTTCATAGAAAGCTCTCCCTGTTTTTCAGGTGCCTACAGCTCAAAAGAATCAATATACCAAAGCAGCATATTTTGTTGTGGCACATCCTGAACTCCTACAGTCATGTTTTGGGATAGCATAGTCTGCTGCACTGAAGAATCAAGATCTAGATGATATTTATCCATTGTGATTGTATGATGTGTCTTTTGAGACTTTCTCCCTCTCCTTTTTCATTTAATCTCTGGGTTCATAACATAAAAGTGTTGTTCATCCCATTTTATAGAGGAAGAAACTGGAACTCAGAGATTCAGTAAACTTGCCTGAGGCTTATTAGTAGGTGGTAAGTGCCAGTGCCAGAATTAAAACCAGGCTTGTCCACCTCTGTTGGTCTTTCCCTATATCATGTTGTTGCCCTTGCATTGTTCCCACTTTTATTTTCATGCTGTTTAGTCTTTTGTACTTCTTGCCTAATCACTTATTCTAAAAGATCTTCAGACCCTCACATGCACATTTTGAAACCCCCCACTTTAAAATATAGACTCTTAGGGATCCAGACACCCTGCAAAAATGATGTCACTCCCTTCCAACAATAAATCACAGAATGGAGGAAAAAATTTTCTCATTTGCTTGAATTCATTTGTTTTAAGCTAACAGTCTTCCAAGGATATTTGTACCTATAACGATCAACTGCTGTCAGTGCCGCCCTGAGACCTTCTCAATCCATCTCTGTTCTAGTTGCATGCAAAGTTTCCCTCATACTATGGTAGGCTGTATTTCATCCTTACCTTTCTCCACCCATTTAGGGCCTATGTTGCTTAGTAATGCACTATACATGTTTTTATAGTACAAAGATTTTTCTCATAGGTGAAAGATTTATCCTAATCTTTTTCTGAACTTTTAAAATTTAATATTATTGTGTGGTTGTGTTTTAGATTGGAGAATTAATATATGTTTTGGCAGGAAGAAGTATGATCCCCTTGCCTTCCAGATTCTTTCCAATGGATTCTTCAACTCCGCTTGACCATAGCAGTTCTCCAGAAGAAGGTAGAGTATCTGTGCATTTTATTTCATTTCTAATGTTGAAGGATGGTACCATTCCTCATATAGTCACCTAAGCACCCTCACAGCACATTTTTCCAATATATGATTACATTTCTGAAGGCTCCCTTTTAACTTTATTATGTCAGCATACATGGAATAGAGTACCATTTTAACAATTAAGAAAATGTCGATGGTGATTCTTTTTTAAATCTTTATTTCTTTTAGTCTTCAGGTAAATATTATAATTTGGCATTCAAAATATTTACTCAGCAAAATTTTCCATTTTCCAAGTAACTTGGAAATAACTACAATGTCAAATTCTATATACTATAATATAACCTGTACTTCTACCCAGTGTCCTAGTTTAAAGTGTAAGGTTATTACTGAAAGAAAATGGCAATTCTTGCCCGTCTTTGAGAGGCGTCTTTCTTTACATTTCTTTCTGTTCCTCCTACCTTCTAACCACTGATAGGAGCACAATGGCCACTGAATTTTTAGCAAGTTGATGATGTTTCTACGAAAGAACCACTTGACTAGAACTCTTTGTAGAGAAAAATATCTTTAATTCCTGAAGACTTACTCTTGAATTACTGAATTAGGACTACTAGAAATGTGTTGCCTATTTCTTTCTACTCTGGTTAATAAAGGCCATAACTGCAGTGTTATATTTCAGACCTCCCAAGTCCACCCTGGATAACAACGTTAAGGGTGTAACTGATCATTGGAATCATGAATGTTTTTGCTTCCCCTAGTGCTTAATAAGGAAGATCCAGTTCTGTATTTGAAATGTAAGCTCCGTCAAATCCTGGATGTGGACCTTAAATTGCCACTGACTAATGAAGCCAAGGAGAAGGCCTTGGCTTTTGCAGCACAGCAGCAGATGTCGAAGATAGAGTATGAGAGAAGGTTGATCACAGGCACTCTGGAGAGCAGTAGCATCCGCTTGGCCATCGCCCTCCTGGGGCTGACCAAGATCGAGGTGGGAATGGAGGACAGAGGATGTGCTGAAATTAGTCTCTCTTTAAAAATGTACAGAGATCATAACAATGTTTTTACATATAAAAATGATGAAAGCTGCTTTTCCTCAGAAAGACAGTTCAGTAGCTTTTTTCTTTTTTACCTCATTAAATAATAAATCTGAAACAAATTGTTCTGCTAGGTAATTTTAGGCATTACAGTATGGTTGATATTTCACAGTAGTTCTCAATTCTGCCTCTACATTGGGATGCCCTGGAGAACTGATCCCAGTGCTCAGGCCCCACCAGAACAATTCAGTATCAATCTCTGGAAGGGGGTGAGTGGGGACATATTCTGCAAGTTGTCCAGGATATTCTGTTGTTCATCCAGAGAGGATCATTTCTGGGGTCAGATTACCAGGCTGAGAATCCAGACTCTAACACTGTCCAGCTATGTGACTGTGAGCTGGTAACTTAAAACTCCTCCCGCCTTGATTTTTACATTTGTAATAAGGAGATAATGGTCATTAATGAAAACTAAGTGAGATAATTATATAAAATGCTTAACGTAGTACCTAGTATATAATTAGTGCTCTCTAGATGTATGGCATTGTTGTTGTTGTTGTTACTGTAGACTCTACTGTATTACAGCTTGAACTCTATCTTATAATTGAAATAAGGTACAGTCGAGTCGCCACAGAGCCACAAAAGCGATTCTTCTAAAATGGAAACCTGCACACTTTGCTCCTTTGCTCCCCTGGCTTTTCTAGCTTGTGTCAGAATGAAAACCAACATCTTTACGGTGGTCTTCATGACCCTCCTGGTCAGGCCCATCCCCTTTCCTGACCTCAGCATCTCCACTGGAGCCCATTCACTCCTGTCCCTCCCTGTGTACAGGCCTTCTTGCTGTTCTTCCAGCGCCCGAAGAAGGCCTGCTCCCTGCGGCCTGTGCACGTCTGTCCTTTGTTGCTTTTCTCTGGACGTGAGAGGCTGCGTCCCTCAGTTACTTCAGGTCTGCTGGAATGCTACCGCTGAGCTTCTGCTTTACCAGCTTGCATTTTTAAAAGAATCCCTTACTTCCGCCAGCCACTTTCCAAACCCTAAACTTCTTTCAGTTTTCTCTGTCGGTAGCATTTACCATCTGAGAGTAGTATATTTATGTGTTTACTCTTTATCTCCAGCAAGGGAATTTGTGAGAAGATATTTGTTTAGTTAACTCTCATACCACCAGTGCCTAGAAAAGTGTGCACTGTACCAAAGGTAGTCACTAAATCTTTGTTCACTGAAGGAATAAATAGTAATTTTTAGAATCCTGCTTGTTTAATGTTAGTCTTGATTTACATAGGTTACAACAAAACCATTGGCATTGTAGGGGTGATTTATTTTTTTATTTGTCATAATGCTAGAATGAAGATAGTCTAAGCACCAATTTCTAACAATTTGTGCTGTTATTTTATGGATGACCTGGATTTTTAAGTTCTGATAAGGTCAAAAATATCAAGGCCCAAGGCTCTGATATCCTCCAGACTGACCTGTACACACTGTGCATCTAAGAAGCCAATGGCTCTCTCTTCAGCTCATACCAAAATGCTTACTTCTGCTATAGAGCAGCGCATTTGGGAAGGTTTATGTTCAACTTTCAGTGCACTATTACAATAAAAATGTTCAATAGGTGGCTTTTTTCAAAATTCATGCCTATTATAGTGCTCTCTCTCTCTCTCTTTCTCTCTCTCTTTTCTTTTAAATTGTCTTCATTCATACCTCTTGTCGAAAATTTTATGTAAATGAAAAAATGCTTGAGGGAGATGGATTTTGTCTGTGGATCCCTTTTCTATTATTTATGCATGTATGTAGTTTCTATCTTTCTCCCTCTTCTTTAACTTTCTCCCTGGAACCCAGCACACTTTTTGTTTCTTATTGCATTTATCAAATTATGTTTTGTATATGATTTTTTTTAATTTACCTATTTTCCCCATCAGATTGTGAATTCCTAGAAATCTAAAAACTTTTGTCATGTGTTTTTTTGTCTATCCCTCAGTGTCTTGTGCATGAGAAGTGCTGTCATTGTTTAATTGGATTGAACATGTACCTGACAAACAAATGGTACTTTAAACCTGTAGTCTTCGTTGTATAGGCTAATGTCAATCCAGGTTGCCTCATAGCCTGATTTTTCACAGAGTCATCTTGCTGTTTACTTATCCTTATTTCCCTCCCACCTTTGCAGGATGGGTATATGTATGTCTCCACTTCTCCAAAATTGTTGGTGGAAATAGTAATAATTATTATTATTTATGATTAAATCTTGACTTCTTTAAAATTTAAATGTTTTAAGCAGTCTGTAAATTTAAAATGAGAAGTTTTTTTCACTTGAAGATTACAGTTTTCTTTGAAGTCTACAAATATCATGAATTTTTTTTTATTTTGGCAAAAACTCTCTAAATGCAAAAAATAACTACAGAAGTGTTGAATATGCCAGTCTAAGAAAATCAGCTACACCAAATCAGAACGTATAGGCACATCTTATTCTGTTGATATACATGTAGTCATAGAGTTTTCTTTTCAAGTGCAATTATCACTGCACTGTTGAAATATAATAATGCTAATACAGCAGAACAGTAAACAGAATTGATTTTAAAAGTTCTCTCTCCTTGTGTAGTATTTGACACCTTTTTTTCCCCAAATACTTTTATGTACACTTTTCAAATTATTTCCATGACCCCATGGAGAAGTGGAGAGAAGATAGGATTACACTTGTAATACAAAACAAGTGGAATGACTGAGGCATAAAAAGACCTAAGTTGCCCTCACTGACAGGGCAGAGATTACAGCCTAGATCAGGGTAGAGACATTATTGTATTTTAAAGCTGGAAAATAAATAATGCTGAACACTCAGAGACACATAGTACAACCTCTTACTTTTACAGACCTATTAACCAAGACCCCAAAATAGTAAGATAGTAGCCCAAGGTGACACCACTGATTTGTGACAGATTAGAAATGGGCCTAGGTTTTTACCTCCCAGAGTCCATTACTCTTTTCCTTGCCCTGCATAGCCTCCAGATCATATGTTCATTTCTTAGTTTACTGCCATGAAATTGTATAATGGAATAAATGAAAGTCTAGAATTCTCTGTTATAGCATAAAATAACTATATAACAAATAAAATCTAAAATTATCCTTGAAATAAATCTGTTTAGAGCAAAATCTAATTGAATAAATGTAATTACTTTTCCACCAAAGAAAAGTGACATGTCTAATTTTTTATTATACAGCCATGTGCAATTTGAATTGTTGAAATATTTATAAGGTAATAGCATTATGATGTATCTACTTTATATACTCTGAGAGACAGGATCTTTTGTCAGGAGCATGAATAGCTGGCACTTTACACTTAGCGCTCATGTATTGAATTCATATTCTCCTGGCCATTAATAAACTAACTCTAGTGATATACTCATTGGTAGTAGGAAGATTCAGAGCTTGCAAGGGAGTTTCCTTATGTTTTCTATTAACTTCCTCAATTTTATGTTTTAAAAGCCATGCTTTGTACTCTGGGATAAATGGTGAGGAAACTCATTGAAATTTTGAAATTTGACATTTTTAAAAAGGAAATCTAAAAGATCCCCCTTGGTGAGGATTCGGTAGAGTAGAGAAAAGGTTTTTGTATTTGAATAATTTAAGTGCACTTCAAATCGTGAAATAAGTACCTGTCGACACTGTCAAAGATAAACAAAGCCAGACACTAGTTAAAACAAGCATAGACTTTATTCAGTAACTGTTGCATCAGGGAGGAGGATCCAGTATGAGCTGAACTCAGGAGAGAGAATAAGCTGGGGCCTGAGAAGTGTCAGGGACGTGAAGTTTACAAGAAGCAGGAGGGAGTTGGTCACAGCAATCTGGACTTGTTAATTGATGCTTATAAAGAGAAACAAACTTCTGGAATCTTTGTGACAGGAGGGAGGTAGTGATGCAAGTTAGAACTAAGTACCTACCTGGCTGGGAGCATTATCTCCTTGAATTTTTGCATTTCAAAGGGAGGGCTCTGAGGTCCATGAGAAGAAGACAGTTCTGGGTGGTAGACTTACATCTCAAAAGGAGAGAGAAGGGAGTTATAATTGCAAGCTTTCTAAAGTAACTGTTCTAGGAGGGGTTCAGGAGCCCATCTACCTATCACCAGATTTTGACTGGAACAAACAGTAAATTATCCTTGCAGCATTGAACTTTCCCAGATAGGGACCTTAAGGGGGACTGGAGTCGTCCTAGGGATATGGCCTTGAGCTGTTAGAAACGTTGTTAGTGCTTGTTCAAGTCTCTTAGTGTGTGTGTGTGAGGGAAAGGGGTAGACAAAATCATTTGTGCTGAGAATCTGCATTTTTTATAGGCTAAAGTTGAGGCCTGGTTGAGAAGATGGCTTGGAGGAGCCTGACTAGAGTTTGATCAAGAAGAGAGTGTGTATCCGTACATATATATATATATATTTTTTTTTTTTTTTAATAAATTTATTTATTTATTTATTTTTGACTGCCTTGGGTCTTCGTTGCACTGCGTGGGCTTCTCATTGCAGTGGCTTCCCTTGTTGCGGAGCACAGGCTCTAGGCGCGCGGGCTTCAGTATTTGTAGCTCGTGGGCTCTAGAGCGCAGGCTCAGTAGTTGTAACCCACGGGCTTAGTTGCTCCGTGGCATGTGGGATCATCCCCGACCAGGGCTCGAACCCGTGTCCCCTGCATTGGCAGGCGGATTTTTAACCACTGCGCCGCCAGGGAAGCCCCGTGCATATTATTTTGAATGACTTGCAGATATAGAAGGCAGATGATCCACTTTGGGATAAAGAACTAGTTGCTTATATGAATAGATAATTTTTTCATGATAACTAGAAAAATAAACCAAGCCAAAACAGTGGTAAATGAATTAATTTACCTTTCTGCATTTACATGATTTTAATTGCCGAAATAAAGTAGGTGGAAAATATGGCTTTGTGAGGAAAAAAAAAAAAAAAAACTTGTGGATTTTATAGATAATGAACTAGTGAATGGGATAATTGCCAAAGGAACTAAAGCTTATTTTTGCTGAGTAATGATATCATGGTTACAATCATGTTGATGACAAGAACAACAATGGTGATGATACTGACAGCCAGCATTTATTGAACTCTTAAAATATGCTCCAAGGACCTGGCATTTGTTTATACTTTAAATATACCAGGGATAGGCAATGTGTACTATTATTGCCCATGTTTCCCAAATGAAGACTTTGTGGCTTTGGTTAATAACCTGGCCAGGCTTGTTTAAAATTGGGGTATAAATTCAGGCAGTCTGGCTTCAAGAAGACTTGGTCTAACCCTTAGGCTCTACTACGTGTTTAGCAGTAGAAGGTCCAGATAAAACGAAACGATTGCCTACTTCTATGCTCTGCATTGCTTAGTTCATACTTAGGGAGCTGGGTTTATCTTCAGGGTCCCATTTTAGGAATGACAGTGTTGAACTAGATTGTGTCTAGAGAAGCATATGCATGGGGGTAAGTTGTAACCCACATCATATAAGTAAAGGTTGAATGGACTAAAAATATCAGACCTATTTGAAAGGGATGTTTGGAGGTTTGTGGAGGGATAGGACCTAGTTTTATAGATGCATATTTTTTCCCCCAAAATTGTCATTAGCAAAAGAGAGGGGACTAACTGTACTGCTGATAAGAACTAGAGCTGATGGGAAGATGTTAAGGAACACCAGGTTCGACTCACAGAGGGAAGTGCTTTCTCAGTACTGTTCACTAGTGGAATGACTTCTTCCTGAGACAATGAATTCCTCATCACTGAAAGGATTAGAGCGGGTGACATTGAGCATCTCTCAATAAAGGATGACTCTTTTGAGTCTATGAAACATGTTAGTGTTGTCCTCTACCAAGTAAACAATAGTATGTCTAAAGAAATGAACAAATTCAATCCCTTGAGGGATTTTTTTCACCCAAATATGGAGTCTAAGTACATAATGCTGTCTTTTTTGTTTGTTTATTTTGGAGGCAACGGGTAAGAGGATTACATTCCAATTTTAGTTTCTATTTATTTGCAGATTTGTATGCTCTTTAATATCTCAAAGTTGAAGAAGCCAAAGTCCATTTTATACAAAACAGAGCTGAGCCTTCCAGAACATTTTGATATCCCCAAGACAATCTGCATTCCTTGGATTCCGGAAACTCAAGCTAAATTGATTCAATATCAAGGAATTAAATCTGCAGAAAAAACAGGTAACCAATAATGTGTACACTGCAATATCTAGCACTGTCTCAGGTACCTGCAATACTAAAATACAAAGAAGAGATTATGTTAACTAATAGGATGTTCGTAATATAATTGAAGAGATAGTCCAGCTACATAAATACCAATTGTTGAATGGTACTTTACATTATAAATAACCAATGTACTACATCATAGTAATTTAAATTACATACTGAATTTGGGTGCCAAATACTGGTACTGAAATTTACTGAAATTTGCCAACCTGTCTTTGGTAAAGAGTGGTTATCTGATTAAGACAATAAGTGCTCTTTGAAGAAGGTGAGCTCTTGCTTTCACAGGGAACTTGGTTACAAAGTTGCCCTGGAGTTGAGACTTAGGCTGGCCCTAAAGGATAGGAGGGATATTGATGGCAAGAACATATCAGAGGAGAAAAAAGCCATTTATGAGCAATTTATCTTTCATCTGGACAAGGGCCTTTTTTAGTTGAGTACCTACTTTTGGTCTCCTTTATTCTGTGTATTTGTGTTACTTACTGCTATACAGCAATGTGATTGTGTGTATGTGTATGTTTTTTTAATATTCTTTTCCATTATGGTTTTTCATAGGATATTGAATATAGTTCTCTGTGCTATACAGTAGGACCATGTTGTTTATCCATTCTATATATAAAAGCTTACGTCTGCTGACCCCAACTTCCCATTGCATTTCTCCGCCATCCGCCTCCCTGTTGGCAACCACCAGTCTGTTCTCTATGTCTGTGATTCTGTTTCTATTTCATAGATAGGTTCATTTGTGTCATATTTTAGATTCCGCAAATAAGTGATATCGTATGGTATTTGTCTGTCTCTTTCTGACTTACTTCACTTTGTATGATAATCTCTAATTGCATCCATGTTGCTGCAAATGGCATTATTTCATTCTTTTTTATGGCTGAGCAGTATTCCATTGTATATATGTTGCACATCTTTATCCATTCATCTGTCAATGGACATTTAGGTTGTTTCCATGTCTTGGCTATTGTGAATAATGCTGCTATGAACATTGGGTGCATGTATCTTTTTGAATTATACTTTTGTCTGGATATATGCCCAGGAGTGGGATCACTGTATCATATGGTAATTCTATTTTTAGTTTTCTGAGGAACCTCCATAATGTTTTCCACAGTGGCTGCACCAACTTACATTCCCACCAACAGTGTAAGAGGGTTCCCTTTGGTCCACATCCTCTCCAGCATTTGTTATTTGTAGACTTTTTAATGATGAGCATTCTGACTGGTATGAGGTGGTACCTCATTGTAGTTTTGTTTTGCATCTCTCTAATAATTAGCGATGTTGAGCATCTTTTCATGTGCCTGTGGGCCATCTGTATGTCTTCTTTGGAGAAATGTCTATTTAGGTCTTCTGCCCATTTTTGGATAGGGTTGTTTGTTTTTTTTGTTGTTGAATTGTGTGTGCTATTTGTATATTTTGGATATTAAGCCCTTGTCAGTCACATCATTTGCAGATATTTCCTCCCATTCTGTAGATTGTCTTTTCATTTTGCTTATGGTTTCCTTTGATGTGCAAAAGCTTGTAAGTTTGATTAGGTCCCATTTGTTTATTTTTGTTTTTATTTCTATTGCCTTGGGAGACTGACCTGAGAAAACATTGGTATGATTTATGTCAGAGAATGTTTTGCCTATGTTCTCTTCTAGGAGTTTTATGGTGTCATGTCTTATATTTAGGTCTTTAAACAATTTTGAGTATTTTCATGTATGGTGAGAAGGTGTGTTCTAACTTCATTGATTTACATGTGGCTCTCCAACTTTCCCAACAGCACTTGCTGAAAAAACTGTCTTTTCTCCATTGTATATTTTTGCCTACTTTGTCGAAGATTAATTGACTGTAGGTGTGTGGGTTTATTTCTGGGTTCTCTATTCTGTTCCATTGGTCTGTATGTCTGTTTTTGTGCCAATACCATGCTGTTTTGATTACTGTAGCTTTGTAGAATTGTCTGAAGTCCAGGAGGGTTATGCCTCCTGCTTTGTTCTTTTTCTTCATGATTGCTTTGGTGATCCTGGGTCACTTATGGTTCCATATGAGTTTTAGGATTATTTGTTCTAGTTCTGTGAAAAATGTCATGGGTAATTTGATAGGGATTGCATTAAATCTGTAGATTGCTTTGGACAGTATGTCCATTTTTACAATATTAATTCTTCCAATCCAAGAGCATGGGATACTTCTCCATTTTTTTGAGTTGTCTTCAATTTCCTTTATTAATGTTTTACAGTTCTCAGCATATAAGTCTTTCACCTCCTTGGTCAGGTTTATTCCTAAGTATTTTATTTTGGGGGGTGCAATTTTAAAAGGTATTGTTTTTTTACATTCCCTTTCTGATATTTCATTGTTGGTTTACACCAACAATGCAACCAATTTCTGTATGTTAATCTTGTATCCTGCTGCCTTGCTGAATTTGTTTATCAGTTCTAGTAGTTTTTTTGTGTGGGATCTTCAGGGTTTTCTATATATAGTATCATATCATCTGTATATAATGACAGTTTTACCTTTTCCCTTCCAATTTGGATACCTTTCTTTTTTTTTTTCTTTTCTGATTGCTGTGGCTTCCAATACTGTGTGAATAGAAGAGGTGAGAGTGGGCATCCTTTCTTGTTCCAGATTTTAGCAAGAAGGCTTTCAGCTTTTCACCATTGTGTATTATATTGGCTGTGGGTTTGTCATAAATAGCTTTTATTATATTGAGATATGTTCCCTCTATACTTTGGTAAGAGTTTTTATCATGAATGGATGTTGAATTTTGTCAAATGCTTTTTCCACACCTGTTGAGAGGATCATGTGGTTTTTGTCTTTTTCTTTCGTTAATGTGATGTATTACATTGATTGATTTGCATAATGTTGAACCATCCTTGTGAACTTGGGATGAATCCCAATTGGTTATGGTGTATGATCTTTTTTATGTCTTGTTGGATTTGGTTTGCTAACATTTTGTTGAGAATTTTCACATCTATATTCACCAAAGGTATTGGCCTGTAATTTTCTTTTTTGGTGGTGTCTTTGACTGGTTTTGGTATCAGGGTGATGGTGGTTTCATAGAATGTCTTTGGGATTGTTTCCTCCTCTTCAGTTTTTTGGAAGAGTTTGAGAAGGATTGGTATAAGTTATTTGTGTGTTTGATATAATTTGCCTGTGAAGCCATCTGGTCCTAGACTTTTGTTTGTAGGGAGTTTTTAAATTATAGATTCTATTTCACTTTTGTGATCAGTCTGTTCAAATGATCTATTTGTTCTTGATTCAACTTTGGTAGGGTAAAGTATTCAAAAGTAATTTACATTTTTTGTTCACTTTTTTCCTAGTTGGTGGATAATAGTAGGAATATAATTTCTTTACTAGGGCTTTTTATTTGTTATCTTCCTATGGCTTTGTGTTAACTATAAAGTTTTTCTAAATCTGAAAAGGTGATTGCAAATAATAAGGTACAGGGTAATCTGTTCACTTTGCCTTCCTAGGAGATCTGAGAACCCAGATTCAAATGCCAAATGGCCAAGCAGGTAACAAGGATTTATGAATTGGGTCTGGTCTATGGCAATAGGGATGATGGGGCCTATGACAAACTGAAGAGTAAATGCCCTGTCTAGACATTCAAATTCCAAAAATAAAAATAAAAATAAAATCCTGAGCTAGACAAACAAGTGTGAGGTCATGTTTGACTGAACAGCTGTCAGTTTGAGACCTTTCAGGTTAAGTTGTTGTCTTTTTTTTTAATCTTTATTACCTCCAGCTTTTCTGTGTGCTATTAAATTTTTAAATGAAGAATTTATTTTCATAACATTTTAATCGCTTTTGAGATAACTGGATAAAGCTGTGTGCACTATAAACCTGGCTAGGATTGTCCGTTCAGGCCATTCATTTATTCAGCTGTTCATTCAACAACACTGTTCTGCATTGATTCTTTTGGGCAAAATGATGAAAATTCCTGTATTCGTCCCTTTGAAGGACTAATAGATAAGTAGCTCTTGTAATACAATGGGATAAGTACTGATAGAGAGGCACCTATATAGAGTATGTTTACAAATAAAACTAACATTAATACAGTTGATTATAGAGGGTAATTCAAATTTAAAAGAATTTTCATTTTGAGAAAACAAATAACTAAGGATACATAGTGTAGGCTTGCCATGAAACTCACAGTATAGTCTTACAAATGAAGACTGTGGCATATTAAGATGCTGTTTAATTATAAATAAGCATGAAGTGATTTATATTTGAAAGTCTTTCACTCAGATATTTTTCTAAGACTAATATGTGTCTTTCATATCAACTGTTAACTATCCATTTTGGTAAGAAAATTATTGTGAAAATTAAGAAAAAATAGAACTGCAAACAATTTTAAAGGATTATCATAAAACTTTTACAATGTAATTAGCCAATCGTGGTTCATGTCTAACTTAATTGTCTGTGCAGTTGAGTTTATAGAGGAACTTTTGAGCCCAAGTTTCTGTTTTCATTTCCTTCAGCATACATTTAAATAAAGTAAGTTTACATAAACAGAATATTCTAACTCAGGATAGTAGCAGGTCATATAAATACATACCCTTAGCAATGTACATTCTGTTGTGAAGCAGTGGACTTGATTAATGAAAAGGAAAAGAATGTAAGCATTTTTACTTTAATAAATAACCTATTAGAATTTGAAGCAAAGAATATTAGATTTAAGGGTTTAAAAAATTATTTTTATGGTATAAACTAATTTGAAGAGAACAAACCAGCAAATTCCTAGCAATAAGTATAGTAATGTAAAAGCAATTTTTTTTTTATGGGTGGCTTAGAGAAAGAAAGAAATGACAAGTGTTTATGTGGAGGAGTAGAGGTAGCCCAGTCTTCCTGCTAATTTCAGGAAAGGGGTGGAAGTAGAGTCATATAATCTCTTGAAGTTCTAAACGCATTAAAAAGAACTAGTTTTGATGTA